CTATTCCTGATAGTCCCTGTGATTCTTGACAGTGATAGGGCAAGGGGGAATGAATTCACAAAGATATATGGCAGGGTTAAAGGGGATATTAGCAGGAAAACTTCCTTGTGAGTGTGGTGAGGCCTTGACAGCGGCTCCCCAGAGAATCTGTCTGCCCCATGCCTGGCAATGTTGTAAGATCGGCTTGGAGCAGCCTGGTCTAGTGGAAGGTGCCTGCTGATGGCAGAGGATGGAACTGGATGGGCTTTAAATTCCCTTTCAACCCAAAACGTTCCGTGATTCCATGATGAAACATGGAGATGGATGTGAGCCTTCACTCACAGAATATGGAAGAGCAGGGATGGTCTTGAGCGGGTGCCTTGTGGGGGTTTTGGGTGGTCAATTCCATGTGCAGAGATCATAAGACTTTCCAGTAGTAGAAAATGAGCCATTTCTGCACTTTTAAGCCATGAAGTTGAAGTAAAATGTTCTTATCTTGATACTACTTTCAATTCAGCTGTAAAAATAGTTTTTTGAGGCTCTTGCATGGAGTTTTATCTGAACATAACTAGCATGAAGGATGGCTCCAGGGAGGAAAAAGTACTTTTGGCTCCCTCTTATTAAGAGCTGGGCTATTGCCTGTGCTTAGGAAATTCCAGTAGATCTTTTAATGCAAAATTTCTGGTTTATTCTGTGACTAACTCTGGCTGTTAATCAAGAAGAAGAAATGCATAAATTACCAGTGTGGGATTTTGTTTATTAAAATTGTATTAAGGCATTTCTACAGCCTGTGTTTGGGCACACATAGAGCTACACTCTAAAGGATCCAGGCATAAACAGGAAATTTTGGCATCAATTTGGAGTGTAATGCCATGGAGGCTTCCAAAGATGCTCCAAGTCAAAGGAATTGCTGGGCACAAGTGGTTTGAGCTTGGTGGGATTCCCAGTAGGACCCAGTGCAAGATCTCCAGGTGTGGAGATTTTAAATTTTAGTCCTTCATTAGTAACTTTGCTTCCACAGCTGGAAGTTTTATTGAAACCTGCCTGAGAAGGATTGTAGGAGCAAATTGCTTGAAATGGCAGGATTTAGGATGGGTTCAGGGAATGAAGGAACAGATGATGAGAGGATCAAGGAGAAGTTTATTAAAACTCAGAATATGATAGCAGAGGTACAAAAATTACATTACTGAGCATAATGGAGAATTAAAACAATCCAGATGTTGCAGACTATGATGAATTATGGGAAGAAATACCTCCTAAGGATTGAGGCAATGTAAGGACAGCCAGTCACTGTAGCTGCAAACGTGATTTTAATAACTCAGGAAAGGCACAAAGGAGCAGGTATGTTGTTTGCTTTTGTTTTTAGCTGTGGTCTCATTAGGTATCATGTGCAACACTTGTACTCTGATCAAAATGTGAAATTTGCTGTATTTTTCCCCCTGTTATTGATTTTTTCCTATTCACCAGAAAGTTATTGCAGGCTTGAACTCTGGGGATTGCAGCTTAATGGAAGAAGCAGCGTGAGGCTGATAAATAAATATAAAAACAGCAACAATGGTAATGCTTCTGTCATTCTTTGAAAAGATCAAAAGAATTCTCAGGAGTTTGGGTGCCTTCATGAAGGGGAAATCAAAATGGTATTGCACAGAAAATGGTGATAATGGCTGTGGCAGAAATAAATAGGGATAGTAAGTGTGAAATTTGAACTAGATCTAGGAAAAACATTGGGAAAAAGAACCCCAAATCCAGACTTTGGGAAGTCCTTTGAGTTTCCTTATTACCCTTGGCATCTTCCAGAATTAAATGACAAATATTGTGTTTATTGGCTGATTGCCTAAGGGTGGTCTGCTTATTTCTTAAATTGAGCTGTTGCCCAGCACATCAAATTGTTTGTTGTGTATTTTGTAGGAAAGATTAATTTTCTGCCAAAAAGTGTCCTTTGTGACATATAAAAAGGGGAGCATCAACATCAAGGCTTTACATTCTGGAAGTCTTTATCAGTTCATAAACTGAGGCCTGTGAAGTGAATAAAATAATCTCAGACATAGGTTGAAATTTATAATTTGGACAATTTAGTTAGTGAAAGGTATGATTTAATCAGAATTTTAATTGAGCTTTTAGATAATTGGCAGGGCCAGGAACTGCAGGCAGATGTTCCTCTGGGTACCCCTGGCTCTTGTGTCTCCTGCACCAACCACAGTGAAGAGCTTTATTTCCCAAGCTCATAACTTTATATCCCAAGTTCATAACTTTATATCAAGGTCATAACTTTATATCCCAAGTTCATAACTTTATATTCCAAGCTCATAACTTTTCACACCAGTAAAATGTTGAAATTCCAGACAAGCACAGCCAAGCCTAACCTGGTTTTGCTGTCCCTGGGTCATTGGAGGAGCTCTCATCTCTGGGGACAGCAGAGTGCTGCACACATGTGACATCTCCTATCTGCCATTCAGCACTCAGGTTTCATGGACAAAATAAATAATTGATTTACAGCAGGTAAAAGCTTGCAATGAATGTGAGTGTGTGGCAGGGAGAGCCAGGGGAGTGGTGTGAAACAAGGAATGGAGGAGATTGAAGGTATCTTAGTAAAGATAAACCTTGAATAAACAAGCTCTATAGCTGTGATTTTTTTCCTTGCAATGAGATATAAAATCAGATCTGAAATATCCAAATCATCAAAATAATTTGAAGAACATTGATAACTGATAACTCCATACAATCATCTGTGATGCCAAAGACTTGTCACTTCTCATTTCATATCTCAGTTTCTGGAAGTTTTAGTGAGCCTGATTAATTCATGTGGTGTCCTAGGACTCCTTGGGAGCCCTCCACCAGTCACAGCACCACAACATCCCACACGGAATCATTTTACTTTTCCAGGTTGTTGTTTATGGAGGATAAAAAGTAATAGGTGGAACAGATCCCTGGAAGTACCCAAGGCCAGGCTGGGCAGGGCTTGGAGCACCCTGGGGTGGTGGAAGGTGTCCCTGCCATGGCAGGAGTTGGAACGAGATGCCCAAGCCAGGCTCTGCCATCCTCACTCGTTCTCCTCTCTCCTAAACAACAGAGGGCGATCTTGTATTAAAAATTTAGGTTTTACCCCCATCGAAGCCTTTCCTCTACGAATTGTTGTCAAAAGAATGAAGGTTTTTATCTCCAGAAACATACGGGATCAGGTGTCTGTATTATTCTGTGTTAAATGTTATCTCTGTTAGGGATACTCGCAGTAACTATCAGGTTTTACACCACACAGCAACGTTGCTCTATAGTAAGTGAGAATTACTGAAGTAAAACCTTTAGGATACTAATGGACCAAATAATAGAACTCACTGTGCAAGAACACTGTAGAAATCTGGTGTGTTGAGTAATACTCAAGAAGTTGTTTGAAATTATTTTTTTTTTCGATTTAAGAAGACAGTTATCTGGTTTAGTATGTTACATGAAGGTTGAGGAAACAACATGCTAAATGTATTTTGTGTTTATTTCAGTCTGGGAAGTGTCTGCCCTTCATCTGATGCCTGACTGCAAACGGAGGTGCTGAACCAGTCTCCAGTGCTCAGGTGGGGAGCCCTAATTTACACAAAATCCCCTTTTGGTATCACAAGTAAACTGTTCTTGTCAGTGTGGCTGGTCTGCCTGAGCTAAAGCTCACAGATTATTGCTTCAGTTACTCAAATGCAAAGATATGAAGCACATGACTGGGTAAAGAAATGATATTATATTCTTTGGTGAGTTAGAGTTTTTGAACTGTTTTTTAACACTTTTATTTTGTGTAACAGCTTGTATCCCTGCCATGTCACCTGGAGTGCTAAAGCATTTGGTCCCCGTGAAGGAGAATCACTGAACTATTGCAGATGGCCTGGCTTGATAAACTTCTTTGTCAATTAATCTGTTGCAAATGCCCTCAGTCTTCTGAATGGGTTTTCCTCTGGCAGCCCTGTGATAGTTCCCTGTGGCTCCGGGATGGAACAATCCTGGGCAGTAAAGAGATTGAGATAATGACAGTCCATGGTGACAGCAGGGCTGGCAGAGGCAGCCCGGGGGAAGAAAGACACATACTTGCCAATAGAAATACCTCCATCCTTTGGGAATTGTGGCTTGGGAATCAAAGCTGACCTCATAGACAAGAATGATGGAGAACAAGCTTTTGATTTATGACTGGATGAAGCTCAAAGTCTGCCCTTCTGATCCTTCTTTACAACACACCTTTTGTATTTTATATGAGCTCTTTCACTTTATTCTCAGAATGTTATCTCCTGGGGTATCGTTTTTAAGTCTTTCAGTGTTGTAATAGTTCACTCATCTCCTTCATAGTAGTTAGCT